GAGGGGAAGCCTTTTGGCTCCGAGTCTGGTTGGCATAGCAAAGCCCGACTGAATCCATAGTTTCTTCTTCCGCTCGTCACTTACCCAGGAGCCGATGTTGTGGGCATCAACTGCCACTTCGACCCGTTCGTGGTGCTCGAGGCCGTGCAGCTCATGATCAACGCCGTGCGCGCGGCTGGACTGAAGGCGCACTTCATCACGCAGCCACTCGCGTACCACACACCGGACGCCGGAAAGCAGGGATTCATTGACCTTCCGGAGTTCCCATTCGGTGAGGCATGCACTTGTACGCACTTGTGGCGACCCTTTCGTAGACACTTCGTTGTGCACCAAACTGAGTGCCAGCGGATGTAAAATAGCAAGAGCTCCCGAGAAACGAAGACCAGGATCAAAAGAGAAATGCAAGATTACGAAATTCGAGGGTGAAGCAGTTGGTTCACTAACTATAGAGTAACAGATTGTCTACATGCATGTAAGTGCTTTATTTTTGGGCTAGTTGAGAGTGTATTGTTGGAATTGAGCTACTTGGGACCTATTACTTACTTTTAAGTCGGTAGATCAAATGTGGACGTCACAAGATATGTACTATAGTAGCGAAAGTGCCTCGTGCGTCAAACGACCGATTTTGCGTATTACTCAAGCAATGAATATTAAATTTTTATCACGAAAGTGTTTTATGCCAGGGTCTATGACGGCTTCGCTGACGTATTCCTGTCACGGATATGACGTAAAATATGTATTAGCAGATGGCAAAGAAAAACCAGAAAGAAAAACTGTGTCACGCGGTGTCGAACCAGACACATTCCGATTCTGTGACAGAGCGCGGCGCTAACCACTAATGCACGAAACGAACGTTGAGGAGCATATTCCATTACTTGTTGAGTTAGTCATTACACACTGTATTTGTATATTTAACCAAGGGTCCCACTACAGTTTCTTACTTTGGGACCATATACATGTATTATGATGTAACATTTTTTTTAAAGCAATAAACTGAAGCTAACGGCAAGCCATTTACATCCACCACACAACGTTTGGCGGTCCTCAGAGCTCCGATAATTTCGCGCGTTTTTATTAGTAGCGAGATGGCGTGACGGGCTCGCGTCGGGAGCGCTCTGAAGGTCGTCGCCTCCACGGAGCATTCGTGGTCTCTCCTGCGCGATCGCTTATCAGACTCGTAAATCGGGAGAGGATGAAGGTCACTTCACTCGCAGCCGCGGCCGCGTTTACGAAAGGAGCGCGCTGCAGTCACACGACGAAGTAAGAATTGTGACAGTTATTTGCGCTTGTCCTGTGTGTACTTGTGCGCTCGTTTCGCGCCTCTTTCTGTTTGAACAGCACGCTTTAAGTGTCGAACCTGGGGAAACCCCCTAATTGTTTTGTGTTGGAAATAAATAAATGAAAATAAAAAAATAAATAAACTGTGACAGTTGTTATTCCATGCTCGTCTTGTGTATGCTAATTTCGTGCGCGCTTTCTGCTTGAGGTGCGTGCTGCAAGTTTCCCGCTTCCTTGTCGTTCTTCACGTGACTTTGCAACTTCGTTGCTCAACTGCCTCTGCGAAGAGACGTTTCTCCTTAGTGCTGTACTGATTCCCAGACAGGGGGGATCAGCCACGCTTTTTTTTTTGCTCACTCGCGTTTTCGTTAAAACGAGGTTGAGTGTTTTTACAGCCTTATAACGTGCTTTTACCTTTACGTACTCGGCAGCCTTGGAGCCCCGCGTTTGCAGCCGTTGGGACATACAGCGCTACGCGCGCGAAGCCTACTGAAATGGGCGTACGCTACATCGGCTGGTTGCTGCGGCTTCGAGCCGTACCACGTACGCGCCATCGCCGAGGAACTGTCTGCAGAGCGCGGTGGCAAGCTGCCCGAGGCATCGGACAAGCACGATTCCTGGGGAGAGGGCCTGCGCATGCACACCAAGCCCTGGGTGCGAGCACGGTAAGAACGACTTTTCTCTGCATGGTTGATCAAGAACGACTTTTCTCTGCATGGTTGACCTGCATGGTTGACCAAGCCTTCGTAGCGTTGACAGAAATGTACGGAGTAACGATGCACCCATGTGGCTACATTATGCTGTTTTGTGTCTGGTTGCGGCTGAGTAGTCGAAGGCGACCCGCCGTGGAGCGATAGGTAATTGCATGCTGTAATACAGTGGCAAACTGTATAGGCCGTTCCCCGTGGGACTCTTGCCCCCTGGGACGTCGATATTGCTAAGTGGCACGTCTGAGTCATGACATCACGGAAATGAAAGTACGTTACTGGTCGTCGCATCGACCGACCACCAAAGTTGCACACACTGTACTTTGCCACTGCATGATTACGTCGTCAAATGCAATAACGTTGATTGTCCCTGAAATGCGTTCATGAGTCGCATTGCCGGTACGAAAAGTTCAGGTACAATGGAACCTGAGGGACTATACTATAGTATGCACATTTCTGGAGTCCTGGCGCACACTAATGAAATTCAAGCTTGAAAAAGCGCAATCTAAAAACGTACCGCATACTTTTTCTGACGCACTCGTGGCACTACAGGAAGAGCACTGCACGCTTAATCATGTACTGGATATAACACTAGCTTAGCCAAGAAAACTAGACACAAATGCCTAGGTTTCTTTTCTATAACCTGTACTTTACGCAGGACATTAGGATTGTACCGGAGCCCCCACTCCGTACGAACACTAACGTACGAGAAATGACAGTTCTTCCCATGTGCTATACAAATGTTATATAGAGCACATACACATTTTCCCCGTTGGCTAATCTATAGACTCGTCGTCGTTTGCAGCAGTTATGCGGTAGGCGCCGCTGACGCTAGACGCAACTGATATAAGGGAGGCACAGCACGCGAGGTGCTGTGCCTCCCTTATATCTGTTGTACATTAAGGCTGCATGGTGCGTGCGCATCTTCATGCACGCACGAGCTACATGTGACAAACCATTGGCGGTGTTGCGATAGCAAAGTGGCAGTGCCACCGGGAAAAAGTCTGTAAGCGCGTTACTACGCAATTGAAACGTTTAGAGTCGTTCTGCAAGACGTATGTGCTTTTTTGTTGAGCTATTCGTGAACATTGGCCTTATGCATTGCATTGCGAATCTCCAAATGTGAGACCAGGGCTTACATACTAGGTTCGGCGACCATATTGGCGTCCGCAGCGCTCAATGAAACTGCTAGAAAGCGCCAGGCGCGGCTTTCGAGCTTCTATTGCTGTTCATTGCACAGTGCCGATCACACCTATATGGATCGCACCATTAGTAATCAAGTCGGCAAAACGACAACCCTTGCGCTACTTAACGGAGGAAATAGCCGTTATAAGAAACGACATCGTGGTGTCAGAATAATGGTTTCTCGAATTACGTATTCAACATCGGCTCCTACAAGGCCTTTAATACTGGTGAGGTGTTCTCTTTAGATGTAAATGACCCTGTACATCAGCGTATAATTAACCGACGTTTTTCAATGTTTGAATTTGCTGCAGGGCATCGCGCGCTTACTGGGAGAACCTGAGGCCTTCCACGGGTCGGCCTTTCTCGAGCGCCTTTTCCCAACCGGACAACTGGGGCGTCACCGCCGGCAACGAGGAGCTGAAGCAACAGAAGGAGGCCACATCGACGGAGGAAATCAAGAAGCTGCAAAATCTGAAGAAGTGAAACGACGCCCACCGCTACTCTCTTTCTATTACTGCTGGACACCAAAGCAGAAACTAATCGCTGTCCTCCGTGAGGAGCAAAGTTTTTTTTTACCAAGAAATAAACGCGTCTTTACGGACGTTGGTCGTCAGTTTGTTCTATCGAACATGTAACTTTTGGTAATTGAAGTTGATTGATTTGATTGATATGTGGGGTTTAACGTCCCAAAACCACCATATGATTATGAGAGACGCCGTAGTGGAGGCCTCCGGAAATTTCTACCACCTGGGGTTCTTTAACGTGCACCCAAATCTGAAGGTAATTGAGTGTGCAACTAAATATCTAAATATTCTGACACTGGTCCGCTTCAGTAGTTACATATAAAGAATCAGGTATTAGGCCCGAAATGCATGCATTTTTTGTTGTATTTGTTTCGAGCAAAGAAAAGCATACTTTTCACATTGGTCTTAGAATGTGTCACCTCGAAATATTCTCGAACATGAGTGCATCCAGCAAAGTGATCCTTTGCAGTAATACTCAGCATTACGAAGTTAAACGATCACCAGTTGTCCACTCAGCGGGCCTGCACTAATGTGCACTCAGCTTCAAGCCACTTGATCAAATTCGGGATGCGTGACGTGCCACTGAAGTTTGCTTCTCGATTTGTACACACCGTGACTGAAAGGGTTAAACGGATTTTAAGAAACAAAATAACTTCGCTTCGAAACTGCACGTCCACAAAGTCAAGCAACACCGCTCGAGTGATGCTTGGAAATGTGCAAAAACAAAATGTGGTAGAGGAACTCAGTCTTGAAAATCTCGTACAAACTCGCCGTGATGGCGAGTTTATCGTGTTTTTCGTGCATGAAACTTTTGAAGTTATTCCTAAATAGCTCCATCAACTAGAAATCGTCACAAGCCAGGTGGTGCCGAGGTTCAAAATTTTGAAAAGTTTTAACTATAGCGCATTTTTCAGAGTGTTCATGTTGCTCTCGTGTTTTGCGCACTTGTTATACACACCATGAATCACCTGCGGACTTGCCAAGTTTTCTGCCATGGGAAAACATCTTGAAGAGCCACATGGTCATGTGTTATTGCTATACGACCTTCTTAGACTATATGTACTAGCAGCAAAACGTAGGAGCTAGGCAGCGGCTGTTCCGATACTTGATGAACTCTTTCGGCTTCGTTTTTATTTTTGGTTTCTGTTTGCGCGTTGTATTCGTTATTGAGCGAGTGTAAATGTGCTGCTGCGATAATAGTCGGCATTTTTTTTCACTCCCGTAGAATACTTACCGCATCTCTTCAGGATGTAGAGTCCTTTACGTAGTGCTTAATCCAGTAAAAAACAGTCACAACGTGCACAACTTTTAAAAAATTCACGCCCTTGGCTTGTGTCTTTTATTTAGCACTTCTACTGTACAATTTACTGCAGGATTATATTATAAGAAAAAAAATACCACTCAAACACACAATCGATTTTATGAAAGGACTAGACGATCTACTGCGCGGCGGGTTGCAGCATATTAAGGGACTGTACAGCAAGAGCTGGACACGGCTGAACAGACCAACATAGGGTGTCGGTCATTCGCGAATAAGGGGTCTCTAGCAACAATCGTAAATGGGATCGCAACCAGAACTCGCTGCAGAAAGAACACCCTTTAGGTTGACTAAAAAGCGCGGACTGGCAATGAACGGTCTACCTACGTGGAGTGAAATATGTACAGAGCTCGAAATTTGTACTAAGTAGTTTTTTTTTCTTCGCTTCCGGTGGGGGCATTAACGTACCGCGAAAGGAGGTAGAGGGTGCATGTGCTGATGGAGGTAAGGCTTGCTCTTTGGACGGCGCAATGGGCCGGGGAAAAAAAAAAACTTGGAAATCGCAATCTGTAATCGAACGCTAAGCACTGAGCTGGGGGTTATCGAACGAAGGATTGGTTTAATATAAATCGTATACGGCGTTTCCAGATACTTCAATGCCAACACATATGTTTGGCAATCCACGCTAGTATGCGTAACCTTTCCAGCTGTTGGGAAGCTCACTCACTGCAGTGCCGCAGAATTATGTATACCAGGGTACATAGCTGAATGTGAAATTTCGAAATTGTTCACTCAAAACCTTCAGAATTAAAAGCAGCAAGAAAAAGTGATGGCGAGTGATAGGCAGTCTGGTTTCGGCTGCGCATGACGATATTTACAGATGAGCGTGTACTGAGCGTGAAACGACGGCTTTTCCCTCTACAATGCACAAACTTCATCTCTCTTACACGTTGCTCTTCTACAAAATCCGAACTACAATTTACAAAGAACAAGAAAGGAAAAGAGAACGAAGTAGAAAAGTGAATGACGAACTAAATGTCAACTTCAAGCCCGCACTCTATAGTAGAAGGAAACTGCGATTTGTGACATCACAGGGCCAGGCCAAGCACCACGGCTCCCCATAGGCGGCATGTATAGGGCTTCTTTTCCGTTACGTATACGTTTTTGTGGTGGGAACGATGCGTGTGAGGTTCGCCCCTCTACGAATAGAATGTGAGCACGCTGGTCTGGTTGCCCCGCACGAGAAGGAACGGAGGCATGTCCTTGGTGAGCATTTCCAGCCACGCCATGTACATGGGCGCCGTGCACGTTCCCTTGCGAGGCATCGGCAAGGTCCTGCGGGGAAGAAAGTTCGCTCAGTTAATAGGATCGGCAGCTTTTGGTCTTGGGCATCGGTCGGCGAACTCGCTAATGAGTCAACTTGCTCGGACTCACTCAGACTCAGGTCGAGCGATGGGTCTGGGTCAGAGTGAGTCCGGTTGAGTATAATGTGTTGGTGAGTTTGAGTCCGAGTTAGTCCGGCTGAAGAAAAATATCCGTGACTGTTACACTGAGTGGTCCACCTCAGGAAAGTTTCGATGAGTGAGATTGAGTGAGTTCAAAGTGCAAGATATATTTCTTTAGCGAGTCTGAGTTAAGCCTACTTTTTCATATACTCAAGACCTATGGTCTTGAGTATATGAAAAAGTCGACATTGCGAGCAATGACGATGAAACGACACTGGTGAACAAACAGCGAGTTATTCGTACGACAAAACTCGTGCAATCACAATTAATGTTTCGGCTGCAGCAATGGCATCAAGCACACTCGCCAGTAATTGCGTCAAAAAGCACGCATATCATGGTGCCCTCTATTACATGTATATTAGTGTCTACGTTGCAGGTCACTCTGTCCACTTAAACTTGCTAAAATAGCCGTTATATATTGCAACGGAATGAGCCAACCTTTCAACATGTGGCCACATCATTACAGAGGTGCCTGAATGCCTTGTTTCGCTTGACCTATTAGCGCATCTCGAGCAATGTAAATAACATGCCATTTACTACACACAACCTGTGAAAAAACGAGTAAATAATAATAGTAAAAGGGAAAATCAAGTGCCATTACTGATATTAACTTTTTCTAATGCAGACAAAAAGTAGTCTAAGAAGTGCGCTCTCATTTCAAAGCAATGATGTATCACCGACTCGCCCTATCAACCATATTGACATACCAAAGCTATATATGGCGTCTCCATTTAAGAACAAGTAACAGCTTTACAAGATATTGTACAGTTTGATTGCTGCGTATATCTTTGTGCATGATCTTTCGCCAGTCAAGAACTTCGAAAATACACTTCAAGTGACGTATGTTATGTATATTCAAGTAGAAAAAAAAACTTACATCACTATTAGCGATGCACCAGGTGAGTATTGCCGTAGAAGCTCGTGAAGCCGCAGATGTCGGTTAGTCTGGAACACGCCAAAAGAAAAAAAAAATTTAAAAACGTGTGGGATAGCTTAGCATGCGCTTACAGTTATGTAAATCGAAGCGCTCTAAGAATCTCTGAGAGACACGGATGCTTAAACGCCACGGTACCTTTTCTTTGACGGCCAGAATCTCGGAATCTGACACGAACGGCGCTGGCGTCTGGTCGGACTCGGCGTCTTTCGACGATCGCCTCCAGGGGTTCAAGATTTTCAAAAATTCCTCCTTCCTGCTTGTCGTAAGGAGAAGGGTGCGACTCACTCATCTCGAGCCAGCTAAGGTAACGCTTCGAAGCATTCTGACAATACACTCTTGATCATGCCATGCGTACAGGGTATACATATAGCCAAGAAGCCACACCTTCTTATTCGACTTCTTGACTCAACCCTGCACTTCATAAAGGGCCTGACTAAGAGTACGTAGTTGGTCGTTCCAGCGACGCAGGCGGCGCCATATAGGCACACTGCAATGCAGTTTACGAGATCCGATTGTAGCGCCAGAACACAGCCTAGCGAGTAGGCGACGAGTCTCCTAATGTGTAGCCTAGCGAGTAGGCGCAGCAAAACCGAACTTGCGCGTGCATACCATTTTCTTTTTTAGTTGTGAGCAAGGGGGTCACGACTGATTATGTAAGCGCCCAGGAAGCGTTCTTTGAAAACGTGCCAAAAAGGGCACTGACACTTCAGCGTGTCACTGCGTTCAGCGAGCGTTCCACTTTCTTAGTATTCCTGGCGGTCGGTACCAACAATGCTGAGGCGGCCCAAGGAGCTACGTCGCGCCCTCTTGTCCACTGTCGGGTGCCTATAGCCGTGTTCCGAAGCTGTCACGCGCTGATAAAACTGAGACGCAGTTTCGTCTCTCAGTAGTCATAAACCAATAAACGCGCCTTCACGCTCTGCGACGCTGACGTAATCGCTCGCGACATCACCGTCTCGTCCGCCATTTCGACCTTCCGCTGCGCCGCCTATAGTCGCTGGAATGATCCAATAGGTCGACACAAGAAGACAGCAGATTTCCTTACGTTGACTCCTGCGGTGGTTTCACGATGTCAGGAATCACGGTCACGTCGGAATATTCTATGCGAAACTTGCTAAGAAGGGCAGCCATACTGAAAAAAAGCAAAGCGCGAAGGTTCGGTTAGTTGACAAGCCCAACACGATTTCCCTACACGATTTCAAATGCAGCACATTCATTAGTCGCACGATGTCGTGCTTCAGCGTCGTCGGCGGTGGCGCCGTCCACACTTTGCACGATCTGTCCCTCTCTTACCTGTCCTCTCTTACCTGTCCCTCTCTTACCTCGCAATGCCGACGCCGGCAACGTCTGCTCGTAAAAAAAAAGTCCATTCGCATCTTCATTCCCACGGAGAGCAAAAAAAATGCATCGCAGTGTGATGGGGGTATCGCATGAATGTTGCATGATTGGATATGGTTTGGGATTGCTTAATTGTTATTTCGTCTTTGATATTCTTATTTATTGAACTAAGGAGAAGCGTTGCTTTCAATTAGTGGTACGACTCTGATGTGCGAGATCCAGCGCCTACATATATGGGGTGGCCAGTGAACGGTTGTGCAGCTCGAGCAGTCGGTTTTTACTACCAGACGCTGCCTGCGTCGGCCTTGCGAGGTGAGAGAGAGAGAAAGGGGGGAAAACAGTTGGCACGAGACGCAGGCATGCGGCACGATACGCGAGGCAGGCAGGCAGGCAGGCAAAGAACTTTATTAATATCCGGAGGCGGCGCTCAATCCCCCTTAGGGGGCAACACCGGTGGGCCACTCCCACGACGGGGAGGTTAAACTCCACGGCTATGTCGTGGGCCCTCTGGATGGCCCTAAGCTGGTCTCCTTTGTCATGGCTTGTGAGGAGACAGGTCCAGTCCGCCTCCGTAGAGGGAGACTCGCTGCTCTCGCGCAACGCAGGGTATTGCCACAGCATGTGTTCGAGAGTACATTTGGGATGACCACAGCGTGGGCACCCCGGATCTATGCCATCTATGTATTTAGAGCAAGTTAGAGGCGATGCATACGCCTCCGTCTGTAAGAGTCGTAGAGTTATGGACTGAGGTCTTGTTAAGTGTCGGTGCGGGAGTGGTTATTTCCGCCGCTCCAACTGGCAGTGTTTGCGAATTTCATTAAAAGTTAGCAACGGGCCTCTGAAGAAACAAGTGACGTCCTCAGCCTTCGAGAGGTTCTCCCCGGCGTGGAACGTGAGACCTCGCGCCCGGGAGTGAGCCAACTCGTTGGCATTAAGGATGGTTCCGTGTACGTGTCGGCCAGCGTGTGCCGGGAACCAGATTGTGTGCTTTTTGCCTGACCAATCGGCTTCCCGACAAACTGAGCCCGTCATGAAGGCCCGTGCGGCTGCGCGCGAATCCGTGTAAATGGCGGTGCGATCGGTGGCAGCGAGAGCTAGTGCCACAGCGACCTGCTCGGCGCGATCAGCGTTCGAATTTAATAAAGTCACAGACGACAAGTGTTCGCCTTTGAGTGTTGTAGCCACCGAGACAAAGTGGTCCGTAGAGCCGTATACTACGCTGCGTCTACGAAGGCCACGTTATCCTCCATAGCGGCTGCGGTACTGAGTAGGGCTCGCGCCCGTGCCTGACGTCTCCCAACGTTATGTGTGGGATGCATGTTACGGGGTATCGGGAACACTGTTAATTTTGCGCGCAGGTCTTCGGGGAGCTGCTGAGGACATTATTGGGATACGGCAGATTTGAGCCCGAGGTGGGCTAGTAACCGTCGCCCAGCTGCAGTGGAAGACAGCCTTACAATTTGAGATACTTTTTGAGCTTCTACGATTTCGTTGAATGTGTTATAAATGCCTAGCTCATTGAGCTTACGATACGCGAGGCGCGAGCATGAGCAGTGGAGGTGCGAACATCGCCGCCGACGCGTGACATCGTGCGACTAAGAAATGCTGCGTATTTAAAATCTGAAATTCCACCCAGCCTATTGTCATTAAGTTGGTCCATAGAGTTTGTAGCACTAAGTTATGTTTCCATGCTACGACGTATGTCATCAACTTCGCCAATACCACCAGTCCGTAAAGTGTGCAAACAAGAACAACAGGGCAACTTTTCGCTTCATAAGATGGCACTCAGTGTGCATCCGTAAATAAGTCTTCGCACAAGTTCGGAATTATTATAATTATTTGACTTCGTTGTCGCAAGATGGCGTATGAATTGGTACACGCATCACACGACTTGTGTTATGATTTTAGTATTTTCGATAAATTCGATTTATTAGTTCAACGGCACACTGGTTGATTTACTCAACTTGTTTCCTCGTGTGCTGAAAAATATATGGTGTGTAATGTAGACGCCACAATAAAATAGCGCTGTCTGAAAATATCGGAATGTACGTATAGGCTCTCTCACACAGTGGGAGGGAAGACTCACTTGCGCTGTTCCTTGTCCAGCTCGTGCTTTTTGTTGGCGAGTGCAAATACCCTGAGGTGGCAGCTGGAGAACTGGGACCTCGTGGACAAGAGGTACGGGATAAGCATCGTCAAGCCTGTGGGCAGTAACGAAGAAAAAATAAGTATGCGACATATTTTTTTTTTCACATTATAGACTACATATGTGCACTTAAATACAAAATATATTGATAGGTAAAATTTAGTACTATTAAGAAACAAGTTGTTTATAATGGGAATTAATGTAAGTGTCACTTTTCGAGCTTGTGGCATGCTTTAATAAATAAAAAAAAACATCTCACGACGAAATAATTTCTGTAACCTACAGTGCACCCAATTTAGAAACAGAAGACACCAAATTAAATCGCAACGTTCAATGCGGAGCGGTGTTGTTTGTATAATGGCACTGTTTTTGACAAACGGCTCGGCTGAGATATCGTCAGTCTCCAGAAAGTAATGACGTCATGTGGCACATGCATGCCGTGTGCATGTACGTATATGGTGACTGCGTTTACCGAGCCTCTCCCGTTTATGAGGAACCACTTTATTCGAGACGAGCTAGAGCTGACACACGCTGTTAGAGATGATGAAGTTGTACAAATAATGATGACGCATCCAGTTGACAAAGAAGAGTCAGTGACTGCGCTTATGACAAGTTTCAGCGTGTGCTTCGGAAACTAGACGATATTGTTCTATTTATATCCAAAGTGATTTGCAGGGCCCCGTCTTCGAAATTGTTAGCATGAGGAAAACATTTCAAGCTTGAAGAAGTCAGGGTTGTTGTTTGGAAGATGCGTTCCTTCAACAGGACACGGAACAAGGATTTTATATAAGCTCTACACCTCCATACGCCCGTGTGTATTCTCTTGTCCTGAATTTTAGTATCTCTACAAAGAGCCCTATGCATGGCATTTTCTTAAGAATCGCCAGCTAAAGATCTGTCAGTTTTATAATAGTATCAATGAATTTCCAAGTTCCATGTACGAGGCTTCAGAGAATTTCACTGAGTGAGGCACGGGAGAAAACAAAGGTATGTAACAACAACAACAACAACAACAATAACAACTATTATTATTATTATTATTATTATTATTATTATTATTATTATTATTATTATTATTATTATTATTATTATTATTATTATTTGTTCTGTTTAACATACCGAAACCCCCGTATGATTATGAGAGACGCCGTAGTGGAAGGCTCCAGAATTTTCGACCACCTGAAGTTCTTTAGCGTGCACCCAACTCTGAGCACACAGACCTACAGCATTTTCGCTTGAACAAAGGTATGTAGGGTTTCTGTCGATGCTTCCTTTTAACGTGCGTGGCTTAGATATAGTCATCTTACCAATTACATTAAACAAGTATGCATAAAAGGCGTGGCTTAGATATAGTCATCTTACCAATTACATTAAACAAGTATGCATAAAAGGCTGCGGCAGAACTCACACTACCTGTTGTGGGAACATATTCACTCTGAAACATATGAAAATACACAATATCATTTTCTTTAATGAATAAAGTTTATTGGCATGAAATAAATAGCTTTTACCATGTTGGTAAAATAAGCCAGCACTTGTAATTCAGCTAACAAATCCCAAGAATAGGAGCCATTTTCTAATAAGAAGCTGATATACTGGTCAACACCTGACACTGCTAGAAGCAGCCATATTTCACGCAAGGGGGTCAAAGGGAATTCTTGAGCATTTTTTTTATTTGAGCATACCGCAGGCTCAATCGGGCCTTGCAGGAGTGGTTACAGAGAATAGAAAAAAAAGCATTTTAAAGAAAAAAAAACAAAGTAGAAATCATGAACAGAAATGAAAGGCGCGCACCTGCGCAACAAATGATTCCACAGTAATGCAATTCACAACACTATCTGGTAACATCTTCCATTACCGAGGGCAAGAGTGAACATTTGCGAGTGTTAATGCGGCTTGAAGGTTGTCTGGTTGTTTTACTGTGGTCAGTTCTCGACGAGTGTAGAAGAGGATGACGTAAACAACGCGACTTCGTAGTGTTGAAATGAACATGGGACAAAAGTTTTTTTCAACGTTTGCTTTCAGTATTGAGAGACGCTTCGTTCTCTAGAATACTCAAAGTATATGAATCTGGCGGCTAGTTTTTGAATGCGTTCAATTTTATCAATTATATGCTTTTGGTAAAGGCTGCACATCAAATCGGCACACTCTAATAAGGGGATACGAAGTGTTTTGTAGGCATTTATTTTCAATACTAAAGGTCTTATTTGGGCCGGTTGGTACACGATCGATGAAGCGAAAAAAACAGCGCATAACACAGGACAGTGACAGAGACTTCGTCTAGCGGTGAACACAGGACAGTGACAGACTTCGTCCGTCTCTGTCACTGTCCTGTGGTACGCGGTGTTTTTTCGCTTGGTTGATTTATTTTCCCATGCAATGGAGTGTTACGTAGGATCCTTCGTAAAAAAAGATAGCTTGCGTTCGGCGGTCTGAGATGGAGGAGATGTGAGGTTGCCAATTGAGATTGGATGTGAGTATAAGGCCCAAGTATTTTACCGTATGACATTTTTCGAATATGGTGTTGCCAAGGGTACAACTGGAATTTATGGAATTTTTCGTGTTGGTGAATGTAATACTCTTGGTTTTTGACGCATTAAGTCTCATTTCCAATGTATTGCACCAGAAACAAATAGGTTGCAGTGAATTATTCAGTTGTATTTGACCCCTTGGATGACGTGCTACTGTGTATACTACACAGTTGTAAAAAAAAAAAAGAAAGCCGCATTTGGACCATTTCATGAATACTAAACTGAGTATCCTTAATATACAAAATAAATAGAATAAGAGCAAGAACGGACCCCTGCGGGACCCCTAAGTGGACCTGATGTTGCCAAAAAGCTTGTTTTTTCAGGCGATGCCCTAGGTCCACGGCTCTGGTGTAGGCAGCACTGCTAACCATTGCGTACAAGTAAACTCGCAATGTCAAGCATAATATTGCCGGCCACCGTTCCATCCCCTAGTTCCCGAATAAAAAGGGCGCACGCTAACACAGCTATCGCCTACAAAAGCAACGTAAAAAACTGCTGTAAGCGTCTAGCGCAGTTACCTGTGAAGACGGTACAAGGCTCCTCTGTGTGTCCTTTGTCTTGTAATCTGTCTTGTCACACGCACAAGAACCTTGTCTCGTCTTGACACGTAGTTGTTCGCAACAATTTGGACATGTCAATCTAACAAGTCAGTCTTTGGTAAGAAGACCCGCCGTGGTGGTCTAGTGGCTAAGGTACTCGGCTGCTGACCCGCAGGTCGCGGACTCAAATCCCGGCTGCGGTGGCTGCAGTTCCGATGGAGGCGGAAATGTTGTAAACCCGTGCGCTTCAGATTTGGGGTGCACGCTAAAGGACCCCAGGTGGTCGAAATTTCCGGAGCCCTCACTATGGCATCTCTCATAATCGCATGGTGGTTTTGGGACGTTCAACCCCACATATCAATCAATTTAATAAGAAGCTGATATACTGGTCAACACCTGACACTGCTAGAAGCAGCCATATTTCACGCAAGGGGGTCAAAGGGAATTCTTGAGCATTTTTTTTATTTGAGCATACCGCAGGCTCAATCGGGCCTTGCAGGAGTGGTTACAGAGAATAGAAAAAAAAGCATTTTAAAGAAAAAAAAACAAAGTAGAAATCATGAACAGAAATGAAAGGCGCGCACCTGCGCAACAAATGATTCCACAGTAATGCAATTCACAACACTATCTGGTAACATCTTCCATTACCGAGGGCAAGAGTGAACATTTGCGAGTGTTAATGCGGCTTGAAGGTTGTCTGGTTGTTTTACTGTGGTCAGTTCTCGACGAGTGTAGAAGAGGATGACGTAAACAACGCGACTTCGTAGTGTTGAAATGAACATGGGACAAAAGTTTTTTTCAACGTTTGCTTTCAGTATTGAGAGACGCTTCGTTCTCTAGAATACTCAAAGTATATGAATCTGGCGGCTAGTTTTTGAATGCGTTCAATTTTATCAATTATATGCTTTTGGTAAAGGCTGCAATCAACTCGGCACACTCTAATAAGGGGATACGAAGTGTTTTGTAGGCATTTATTTTCAATACTAAAGGTCTTATTTGGGCCGGTTGGTACACGATCGATTGAAGCGAAAAAACAGCGCATAACACAGGACAGTTGACAGAGACTTCGTCTAGCGGTGAACACAGGACAGTGACAGACTTCGTCCGTCTCTGTCACTGTCCTGTGGTACGCGGTGTTTTTTCGCTTGGTTGATTTATTTTCCCATGCAATGGAGTGTAGTAGGATCCTTCGTAAAAAAAGATAGCTTGCGTTCGGCGGTCTGAGATGGAGGAGATGTGAGGTTGCCAATTGAGATTGGATGTGAGTATAAGGCCCAAGTAATTTACGTATGACATTTTTCGAATATGGTGTTGCCAAGGGTACAACTGGAATTTATGGAATTTTTCGTGTTGGTGAATGTAATACTCTGGTTTTTGACGCATAAGTCTCATTTCCAAGTATTGCACCAGAAACAAATAGGTTGCAGTGAATTCTTCAGTTGTATTTGACCCCCCTTGGCTGACGTGCTACTGTGTATACTACACAGTTGTAAAAAAAAAAAGAAAGCCGCATTTGGACCATTTTCATGAATACTAAAATGAGTATCCTTAATATACAAAATAAATAGAATAAGAGCAAGAACGGACCCCTGCGGGACCCCTAAGTGGACCTGATGTTGCCAAAAAAGCTGTTTTTTTCAGGCGATGCCTAGTTCCAGGATCTGGTGTAGGCAGCACTGCTAACCATTGCGTACAAGTAAACCTCGCAATGTCAAGCATAATATTGCCGGCCACCGTTCCATCCCCTAGTTCCAAATTGGTTAACGTGGTTGTGAAATGGGTGTTAAATTGCGACTTACTTGGGTCGATGGCTAAATTGGTTAACGTGGTTGTAGGAGAGGGTGTTAAATGAGTGAACACGTACACACGTATGCGAAAGGGCGGCGCTGGTCGAAGGGACGTCGATCATTGTGTTTGTGGATTCGTTGGAATTCGTTTCACCGCGACCTTGGACGTCGACGCGCCGTACAAACCAACCGACGAGCGGCAACTGAGCGAGCGAGCGAGCGCCGACCTTGAGTATATATACAGCGCGACCGCGCATGCACTGTCAGCTGTCGAATGTTCGAGAAGGGGGAGAAGCGCAACGGCGCATGCGCGCGCGTCAGCTGCCGATGTTCTCGAAGCTTGACGGCGCATGCGCGCTACATTATACAGCTAGCGAATGTTCGTGAAGAGGAGAAGCGCACGCGGTGTGTAGAGGAGGAAGGGTGCACAGATGGTGGAGGAGTGAAGCGCGCGCGGTGTGTAGACCATCCCCTAGTCCCGAATAAAAAGGGCGCACGCTAACACAGCTATCGCCTACAAAAGCAACGTAAAAACTGCTGTAAAGCGTCTAGCGCAGTTACCTGTGAAGACGGTACAAGGTCCTCTGTGTGTCCTTTGTCTTGTAATCTGTCTTGTCACACGCACAAGAACCTTGTCTCGTCTTGACACGTAGTTGTTCGCAACAATTTGGACATGTCAATCTAACAAGTCAGTCTTTGGTAAGAAGACCCGCCGTGGTGGTCTAGTGGCTAAGGTACTCGGCTGCTGACCCGCAGGTCGCGGACTCAAATCCCGGCTGCGGTGGCTGCATTTCCGATGGAGGCGGAAATGTTGTAAACCCGTGCGCTCAGATTTGGGGTGCACGCTAAAGGACCCCAGGTGGTCGAAATTTCCGGAGCCCTCCACTATGGCATCTCTCATAATCGCATGGTGGTTTTGGGACGTTCAACCCCACATATCAATCAATCATGTTCTTGGTAAGAAACACTCACCGCCATCATCGTACAGCCACCAAACGTCGATGGAGCCTTTCTTCTGCTTACGCTGGAACTGGTTCACCGACTGCAGCACGTTCTTAGGCACGCTCCGCTCGAGCACCTGGGACGAGGTGCGCCGCGTCCAGCGCTGAAGCACCGTGGGCGCCGAGGAGTCGCGACGGAAAGACACCGTCACGCTCTCGTGACCGATGACAGCGGCGCCACCCTTGTGGTTCCTCGCGCCCGTCGAGGCATCGCCGTTGGGGCTGACCGAAGGCGAAGACTCGTTCTTGCGGTACGTGCCCAGGCCCGAGTCCCTGTTCGCCCTCTCCGCGGTGGGAGTCTGCGGCGGCGTGGAGGACTCGTCCTCGTCGCACGAACTGCCCGCTGCGCCCCGATCCAGAAGTTGGGTTACTTCGATGCGAGATCTGAGGCACTGGGGAGCTATGCCTAAATCATTGTCTAAACATACTACAGATACAAATCAGTTATTAACAACCATGAAAAGAAATATGCACAAAAACATAAAGGCAACAGCTAGGGAGAGAGCAGGCAAAGCTGTCACCGAGACGGGCACTATGCCTGTCTACTTTTTTGTGGAGGAGGGAATAAATAAGGGCGATAAAAAAAAGGACAGATATGACTTAAGGGGAGAGATATGAGAAATTAATAAATGATTAACAGATTACTCGGGGAAAAGCAAATTAGGAACACGAGAGAAAAAAACTTTCCACGAACTAGAAACCAAATCAGTTTAGTGCACGAAAGCCCTCGAAGGCACGCAGAGTTGATAAGTGCAGACACAATCGTTGCTATAAGGAACAGTGCCGCGGACTGAAGTGCGTATAGACTCACCGGCCAGCGTGAGGGCTGCCAAAAAGACCAACCACGAAGCGGTTGGTCTCAGTGCTTCGTTCAGGACAGGACAGCGAAAGCGGCAAGCGAGAGAAGCAAGAGAGGAGACGGCAGTTGATGAGATAACATCTACAGTTTCAAGTTACCGCTTGCAAGGTAGGTTCCGAGCTTAATTAAATAAACCAATAATAGTAACTGTCAAATGAATTGTTTACACTCTACAGAACTCTTTGAAAATCAGAAGCCTGCCTAGAATAAACCCGATACTCAGGCTGTACGGAACACACGAGTACCTTGCGAGAGTTGCGAGCTGGAGCCGTGCCTGGGAAGAGTGTCAGTCGAGGAAGCGCCCCGGTTGAGGCTGCCTTCGGTACGAGCTGGCACAGTGGACGCCGGGTCCGAACCAACGGGCACGCCGGCCGAGATCTCATCGGCCGAGTACTTGGAGAAGTCGATGCCCTCGGCAAGGCGCAGGATGCACAGTGCCATGTGCGAGTCGAACGAGTGACTGGGCGGAAAAGAGAAGACATGTGAACAGCCGGAAAGTTAGGAAAGCGCGAAAAGAATGTACCCTCAGAAACCAAATTGATATAAAGGACGTCATCGCACTCGGTGTTCTATTCGTACTACCGCAGTTCATAGCTACGCCACTCATTTCAAACGTATTGTAACATGCAACGGCCAATACATTCCCGGTACAGAATGGAGCGTTTTCAACCATCACTCCAACATGCTTCGTCAATAACTCGACATCTGCTAGCAATATCACTCTCGTTCCTTTATCTGGTCGTAAGGTCCACCGAACGGCCTAGTGCACTAGAGTACCAAGTACTCTAAATCTTTCAACAGTTTTTCCTGAACACATCTGGTCCAGCTGAAATAAAGCCTACCAGGAATGAAGTACCAGAAGAGCAATATCTGCGTAGAGAAAGACTAAGCCTGAAATAGTGCTGAAGGCAAACAGTGAACTTGACAAAACTAGACATATCTCCTCGCGTCTGATGTGGCCGCTTTTTTGTGTATTTTGTAGATGTTCTACCTTGCTTTGTACAGCAGCCCTTCTATGCAAGAAACAGAGAAAGTGCTAAGTGCATAGCGTGGTCAATTAGTATTTCTAATGAATCTATCTATAGCGACAGCTTATAGACAAGACACCGTGCACTTGGCAAAGGCAGGATATCGCGAAAAGTGATAGAAAAGAAATAGGAAAGTTGCAAACCTGGTAGATCGAACGTACACTGTAATAATACAATGTGAAGTTTAAGATCTCAACACAACAATATGATTATGATATACGCCGAAATGGAGGCCTCCGGAAATTTCTTCGATCACCTTGTTCTTTCGCGTGCACCCAAATCTGAGCACCCGGGCCTACAGCCTCTTCGATTTTATCGAAAATGCAGCTGCCGCAGCCTGGATTCGATTCCATGACCCTAATAATAACGTTTTACTAAATCATGCAGCACCTTAAAAACATGAATAATGTGGCCATAGACGTTTTATTTCACTCTGTAGAACAGCCCTTCGGTGCAAGAAACAGAGGAATGGCCAAGTGCATGCACATCATGGTCGGTTAGTCTTTCCAATGAGTATATAGTTATCCTTTCACTGTTTACAAACACTGGCCCTTGATGACATCCAGTTTTGTCTACCGATGTGCCTTAATGGCATCGATGGACAACAAAAGCTTTTGAATAGAGCCCGCTAATATTCTAGATTTGTTCCCCTATTTGGCGAAACGTATTCAATAAAATCTTATTTTAAGCTACATAAAAATTGCGAAAGATTTTTTTGTACTTTACGCACGTTCCTTTTATGTGGAAAATGAAAAAGAGACTTTCCTTACCCTTAAAAGAACTTGAAGGCGTGCTTTCAGTTTCGACGTTTGGAGCTGGTAAAGGAGGTGATTTTTGTGGGTGGGAAGGGGGGGGGGTACAACGCTTGCTATTCTGAAACAGTCTATAGACAAGCCGAGGCAAATAATAGTGAGGAATGATTCACAAAATAAAGCATAAGCATTATTTTTTTGTACGTGGTCTTGTACCATCCTGCAGCTATGAGCCCCCCTCACGAACCGTTGCAACGAGCGTTTTTATTTTCCAGTGTTTTCGTTTGTCGCTTTAGCAGAATTTCTGTAGGGACCATTAGAACGGGTATCGCCAGAACATAAGCCTCCGAAATAGAGAGTTGTTTCGTGGACTTTCCGCTGGGGGAAGGATGCATGCGTTATTGCATCGTGAAAAAGACATACTTCATGACAGTGGAACCAAGTTCTTCCAACTCACTGAATGGCGTCGAAATACTCCTGCAGCTCCTGCTTCGGGCAAGTCTGCCAATCAGCCTTGAAGCCCATTAGAACGACATTGGGTCTTAGCTTGCCAACGCCAACCAGCTGTAACCATGAGTAGAAAAATGCAAATACTGTAGAAAGAAGATGTCAAATAACTCTAAGGAATCTAAAGGAGTCGCCCGCTATGTCATCTTACCTGTATGAGCGAGAGGACACCCTTCGAAAAGCTGTTGTCCACAACCAAGCTGTAGAAGGCCTTCACCTTACGCTGCTCGAAGCAATTGTACGCCTTGGACATTAAGATGTTGCGCGATCTGTACGACATCGGGGCCTGAAGGGGAAAAAAAAAAAACGCGTGAAACTAATGAAAAATCCGCTAAAAAGCGAAGAGCAGAGAACGGGTCTATTTAGGGCAAAATACTGCATAATCTATTTCAGAAAAAAATCGCAATTTAATCTCATGGCGTGTGGACGCTGGTCGCATTCTCTCCTTTCGCCTTTTTGTATTGAAAGGGTTACCAAACAAAACCCAAACTGAATCAATGCCTCTACCTTTCAATTTATTATGCATTAACTCGGAGGTTAATCTCAACATATCCAATGCAAGGCAGGGACTGTGAACGTGAAGGAGGCGAAATTAATCTTGAGAACACGGCTTGACCAGACTATTACATTAAGCTAACTGTAGACAAGTCATCCTGTATTGGGTTGCAGTCGAAGTGCGACCATCGATGACAAAGCAAAATACCACACCCCAACGGCCGCCGCTGGAACACTGCGTCAAAGCTGCTTGTAGCAGACAGCGCCTGTTCCGGTATTGAATAAAGGAATTTCTGGGTAAGCCAACTGCAGACCTTTAAAGTGAGAAGTTGGGCTAGTCGGAAATTCAAACACGATATTTTTCAACACGAAATGCGAAAATCCACGCATCTCCACAAGTGAATCATGACGCGTAAAAGAAGCTCCAGGTATCGTGGGTGAGTAACCATACGCTGCCCGAATGTTACCCCATATAATGTAAATTGAGTGACGTAACGTAAAGTGACATTTAGCGACACAAGAAGTCGAAGACAAAGCTAGGTCCTAAAGTCCGTAATGTGCACGTTGAAGTCACCGACCAGCATGAATGATTCTAGGTGTTTTACATTGTTCTGTAACAATTACGATTGATAGTCAAGAGTCCAACGGAATCCCGTCTGGTCGGGGACAAACATAGTGCAAAATAACAAAAACGCCGACCAAGGTTAAATACACAAAACTTAAACTTGTGTATTTCACCTTGGTCGGCGTTTTTGTTATTTTGCACTGAATTATGATTGATACTAGCGCATTGTCAAACCTTTTTTTGTGCCTCACATCCATGCATCTCCCCGTGACAACAGACATCGTGGACGTATGCACAGACGAGCCTCGGCCGTAAGATGCTTCGGCCCAGTTAAGTTCCGATGTTGTGGATGTCGCAGGTATCGACAGCCCCTTGTCGATCCAAGTGCACGCTGGCAACGCGAAGGAAGAGCCAGAGTCTGTTTGAAGGCAGCGTTTATTGCACGATCGCCCGCCTGCTCGGGCCGCGCCCAACGAACTCCCTCTTCCCTATTCCAACCCCGCATTGCCGCGCAGCCAATAAACAATCATAAACAAAAACAGCATTTGCCCTCCCCCTCCTCCTTGCTCTCAGCAAGGAGAAAAGGAATTCTCGGGACGCTCTCTTTCGGGTGCACCACCCGCGTTGGCCATTATCGCCGACGGACCGTCGTAAGCTGATCTCTCAGCTTGAGCTCCTCGGTCGCTTCAGCCAAACGGCCCGGACCACGGCGCTCAACTGGCCGTCCCGAAATCGGCTGCGGTGTTTCGCTTTCCCGGCACAAACTCTCAAAGAGATAATACAGGAAAACTGTCACCGCCTTCAAGCCGCCTCTACCGATGACCCCCTGTGGCGTATGCTCCTCGGATCCGCAACCGTTGCGACCTTACAGCTCGAAAACTCATTCTTTACAGCTCTAAAACGTATGCTAAGAAGTTCACGCACTCTGATACTGACTGGTCCTAAAGACAAGTTTGTACTATTCAGAATAATAGTTATTGTATTTTAGTGTATGCTTATCTTTCCACTTTGTATTACTTATACTTTTCTGTTTACCGGTGTCCACAATAGCATTATATCTCTAATGTGATATTTTATAAGATGTTTCACTCATTCTCGCGACTTTGACACCTCCTTATGTATCTCTCTTTATCATATGCCGTGTATCACTAGTACAACCACAACGAGGCAACACAACGCAGCTCGTCGCCGAATCCAGTTTTGGTGTGTCGTCCACGCAGCACATGTGCCATCACAGCGGATATCGGCACGGAAGCCCTACAGCGGTGACCATCAGCATCGACGCAGTATGCGGCAGAGCCCAGGGGGCGCACCTCGCGCCCAACATATACGCCGCCGGAGGATCACTGCTGGACATTGGGCACGGTGGCACCGCAGAAATGAAGTCTAACCCTTTCGTCTTCATTGCGCAGGTAAGAAAACGTTATGGGAAGTGCTATCGATCGAACGATTTGTGCCTACTTGTGCTGCCGTGCCCAAGGCTGCTATGTTTATTTTTGTATGACTTGTCATCTCATGTTGTGAACGTATTGTTGCTTGCTGGCGATGTAGAGACAAATCCCGGTCCAGACTTAGCGCACATCGCGAAACAACTGCAGGTAATTGCAGGCGACTTAAAAGAAATAAAAGAGGAGAGGCTAACCGCCATAGATAAGAAACTAGAATTGCTGGACTCGCTTCATAGCAAAATAACAATCTGCACGGATCAAGTAACGCACCTGCAAAAAATAGTTTCAGACCTTGAACTAAAGCTTGACGACCTGGAAAATCGTTCTAGAAGAGGGAACCTGATTGTGTACGGCATTCCCGAAAAGCACGTTGAGGATGATGTCTCACTCGAACAAACTGTTAACAACACGATTATTAAGAAAACACTGGATCTAGAGCCTGTAGCAATCGAAAGAATTCACAGGCTCGGAAAGCCAGACGCTAATAAAACCAGGCCAGTTATTTTAAAACTTCTCGACACGCGTGACAAAATCAAAATCCTAAAAAACTGCCAAAAGCTCAAAGGAACTAAATTAGCGATTAGTGAAGACTTTTCAGCTCGAGTTCGTAGCATAAGGAAAAAGCTGTGGGATAGCGCCAAATCTAACAAAGAATCTGGTGACAAAGTATGGTTGGTATACGACAAGATTACTATCAATCGAGTACTTTACCGCTGGGATGATACCGCGGGCGATAAGATTGAGATCAAAACAGAACGCAATGCTCCCTCCAATCAAAAAAACCCAAAAAACCAAGAAGGAACACCACCCATGCGCACTCGCCGCCATCAACCACGTCCAAAATAGTTTTTGTCAATGTGAATGCACGCAGCATACTGAACAAACTCGACTCGCTAGAATCAGTACTTCTTACTGTCGACCCTGACTTCTTGGCTGTGACGGAAACGTGGCTTTCAAACGAGATTGGAGACGCCGAAATAGCACCTCCAAACTACTGCATTGTGAGAAAGGACCGAGCAACACGCGGTGGTGGAGTTGCCATTCTTATTAACAAACGTATTCGATTCACACAGATGCCTGTTGTTGAGGGTGCTGAAGCGGTGTTCTGCAATTTATTGTGCGGCTCATTTTCAATCGTAGTTGGTTGTGTTTATCGCAGTCCAGGGTCAGACCATATCGCTATGCAATCACTGCACGCATACATGCAGCGCAATGTGAAAGGCAAGAGACTAATCCTTTTGGGGGACTTTAATCTGCCCGACATAAACTGGCGGACCATGCAGAACGAGTGCTTAAACTCAGAAACCCTTTTTGATGCAATGCTATCTTTTAACCTCAATCAGATAATAATGGAGCCAACACGGGTGCAGGCGGAGAGCTCCAATATACTTGACCTGGTATTCTTAAGCGACCATTTTCCAAGTGACAAACACAGTGTAGAAATTCTCGATGGGATATCGGACCACAAGCTAATCGTGTGCAGCGCATCAATTTGTGCCAAAAAAAGCCACTGCCACTCGCAAAAAAACGTTCCAGATTTTCGGAATGCAGATGACACCAGCATAATTGACCATCTATCAATGGAATTAGCACCGTTTGAAGAAGATTCGAAACGCGCATTCATAAGTGTCGATGAATTGTGGTTAAAATTTAAACATACCATAACGCACTGTATGAAATTATATGTACCAAACAAAACAAAAAGATCAAAGAAATATAATCCCTGGATTAATCGTGATATCATTCACGCGAAACGCAAAGTTAAAAGACTCAGGAAATCCCTAAAACTAAGTAAAAGCAATTCTAAGACTGCTCTCACAACTGCCATCACCGACATGAAATTAAAAATAAGAACCGCAAAAAACTATTTCACTAACACCCTTCCTAGTTTCATCAAAAACTCGCCGCAAAAATTTTGGGGCTTTCTTAAAAAATCAAAGTCTAGCGAAAACGCTAGTCATCCTCAAGATGGCCTTATTACCCCTTCTTCGCTCAATGAGCACTTCCAATCAGTTTTCACGGCCGATGACGGCAATCAACCACCAATCGACATTTTGAACAAAGAACCATTGGAACTGCCCGTGATAACCGAACAAGGTATCTTTCATCTGCTCCTCCAACTTGACACAAAAAAAGCCTCAGGACCAGATAACATTCCAAATTTGTTTCTCAACCGATATGCGGAGTGGATGGCAAAATATCTGTGCATCATATTCGATAAATCCCTAGCAACATGCACCATAGCGGATGATTGGAAAAAAAGCGAAAGTTAAACCGATACACAAATCAGGCCCAAAAGATGACGTAAATAACTTCAGGCCTATATCTCTTACTTGCACTTGCAGCAAACTTCTTGAACATATTATCTTAAAACATATCAATATATATCTTGAAAACGAACGCATCCTGTCGCCTTCTCAACACGGTTTCCGTAGGGGGCTTTCTACAGTCACGCAACTAACAGAACTAACCCATGATTTATCCTTAGGTGTGGACAAGCAAAAACAGGTCGACCTTATCCTATTGGACTTTGCAAAAGCCTTTGATAAGGTTTCGCATAAAAAACTAGTACAAAAGTTAGAATGTACCTTAGGCAATGGCTCCGTTACGAAATGGATAAAAAACTATCTTACCGGTCGCACACAATTTGTTGATTTCAATGGACAAGTATCCACAACAGTTCCCGTCAAATACGGTGTTCCCCAGGGTTGTGTTCTTGCTCCGACCTTATTCCTAATTTTTATCAAAGACCTACCCTGTCAAATTCCCGTCCACGTCAGACTTTTCGCGGATGATTGTATAATTTATCATGAAATAAACTCTGCAGAAGATCATCTTGCCTTAAACAAAGCCCTCGAAATAGTATCAAACTGGTGTTCAGATTGGCAAATGATACTTAATGTTAAAAAATCAGCTATAATGACAGTAACAAGAAAAAGGGAATGGTCAGAGTTCTCATATATCATCAATAGTATCCCACTTCCTAGAACAAGTCATCATAAGTACCTTGGCCTCACCTTTACTAGCGATCTGAGATGGGATGCCCACGTTTCTAACGTTACAGCTACCGTACTGAAACGACTTTTTTTTTTCTGAGACGATGCCTTCGACTAGCACCTTCTGAAATTAAACTGTTAGCCTACAACACGTACGTGAGATCTGTTCTTGAATATGCGAACATTGTTTGGTTCCCGTACACAAAAAAACATATTGCGAAGCTAGAAGGCGTGCAAAGAAAAGCTGTTCGATTTATCATTAACAAGTTTAGGCAAACAGACTCACCAACTATGCCCGAAGAAGCGGGCATGCTAACGCTGCAAAAACGAGCAAGACTAGCACGCCTACGATTCATGTACCAGCTACGCCATAAGCAAACGAACATCGATGCCTCCAGGTACATTACACTTCAACAATCACGACCCAACCGTAAGAAGCACCCCGAAATGCTACAAGAATACGCATTCCGTACGGAATGTTTCAAACACTCATTCTTCCCAGCATCAATAAGGGAATGGAACAGCCTAGCAGCTATGATTACTAGCAGCAATTCTTTAAATATTTTTTCACGTCTTGTTGAAGAACATTTGCGTTTGGAACCCTAATATTGCGCTATTGTGGTCATCTTTGCAAAATCCATTGTTTTAGACTGTGTTATTTTGACTCTTCCACACTGTAATCATTTGGATATAATACAATTACTGTTAGAACTTTGTTGTTAGAATTTGGTTAGAATTTGCTTGAATTTGATTGTTAGAAATTGTGAGAACTTGGTAGCATCAATGTAACGCGTATCCTAAACGATGTATAACTTACGGATGTTTTTATTGTGTGCTTTTATTGTGTGTTTCCCGATGTCCTTTCTGCGAAAATCCCGACAAGGGATTGGCAGTATTTTTAAATAAATAAATAAATAATCAAACACAGGCACAGAAGAAACGTCAGGACTGTTGACGGGCTCTGATTGGATCAGGTCAGCCTGCTGACTATTGCAGACGTTGCAAGTGTTCCCCCTTGTTCAAAAGCGCACCTGTCCCCAGCAGCTAAGGAGCAGAAAAAATTTTGCGTCCGCCAGTAGACTGCATGTGCTCCCCCAAGTGTGCTCGAGATCCTCCCTTTTTTCTTTCCCCCCCCCTCGTCCCTTCCCCCAGCACAGGGTAGCAAACTGGACGTGCGTCTGGGTAACCTCTCTGCCTTTCTTTGCATCCTTTTCTGTCTCTCTTTCTTAGTGTTATTCACCAAAGCTTCTGCATATCTGTGAAATCTGATAGATGTGAGTACTGCCTTCATAGTTCTACACAGAAAAAAAATTCCTTGGTTAACTCCTTGTGCTACGCGTATTGGTTGCCTTGTAATTCTTGTATGTTACAGCTCTCTTCTGTATGTTTGCACTTTTAACTTCTTGCCCCACGTTTTTCGTAAGTGTCAGTTCAGTTAAAGACCAGCTTCCTTGCTGTCATTTCATTTATTCTCTGCCTCGTCTTCCCGCGCTGAAAATTGACGTGTGCTGCTTGCTTCACTGCTTCCATCCAGCACAAATGTCGCTGACGCCGTTCTGAAGATAGTTATAGCGCGAGAAGAGAACGACGACACAGAGACAAGAAGGACTCAAAAGACACGAGCGCTTCTTGTCCTTGTCTCTGTGTCGTCGTTCTGTTCTAGCGCTATAACTATCGTCGTGTCATACCAACTAGCCCAAGCTGCCACACTTCTAAGCCGTTGTGAAATACGCACGCACTTGCACACAATCGTTAAAGCATACCAACCACCACTTGTAAGCTTACTTTTCGGATGTCTCCGCAAACCATGAGGGAAAGCTTCTTGGTGAGCAAGTAGGCGAAGTCCACGAGAGGTAGGCGGTCAGCTGGGTTGCCAGTGAGCACCAGGATCTGAGGCCTGTAGCAAATTAACAGGCAGATGTTGAGCAATAGAATGCACACACACTCAAGGAAGGAAGAAAAAATTCAGACTCGTGGCGCTTTTTTTTTCCTGAGCACAATCAAGGAACACATCGATAACGAGGCCTGTAATAACGGAACCACACACCACCAATAAGCATGAGGGAGACCATATGGTAACTTACTGATTACACACATCAAGACAACCTGTCCGGAAGCACACCGCATGCAAATGTTTCTTAATGACTGATCTCGCTACTGTTGCTACTATGATGTGCTTTTTACCTGATTTTATTTTGTACAGGAGGTCCCGATGCAGTCTCTTGCCTATGGAACCTCCTCCTGTATACCACGCGCTTGTAACTTCAATCAACTTTTATTAATGAAAATTCTGATTCTGAAAGGCTTCAAAGCCCGAAGACCGAATAATAGATGTAAAATTACCTCGAACGTTACGTCTGCTCGTCAGCCGTACCAATGATGCCTATTCCTTAATCGGTGTCTTATCGCTGCCAACTCAAACTGTTCAAAGCGATCTAACATGTTTCAAAGTTGGAACGCGTGCTTCGTCTCCAATCAATCGTTTCTTCTCCAATTCCCCTGTTTTCACTCACGCTGATTTTAGGTGCATACCAAAAAAATCGCCTTCTAGAAAACCTGTTCGTCTCAGGCAGTCTTATGCATGTATAATATTACGTATAGATGTTGCGCATTTTTTTTAATCACCAATCCAAGAGCCCTCTGCAAATCATGTAAAGCATTTTCGCTTCTGCGTACCACCAGAAAATTTCACAATGCTGCCAACGAATCATTTCGCAGAACTGCTTGCACGCAAAAGAAAAAAAAATATACACCGAGGATTGACTGCCAAAACCACGACGTGATTATCTGACACATCGTAGCAGGGGCGTAGCCAGAGATGGCACACCAAACACGTCCCCCCCCTCCCCGATTTTTTTCGCCGTGGTATAGAGAGCGAAAAATGACCATTTGAAGGGGGTGCCTCATCGAGGTGCCTCATCGAGGTGCCTCACCTATAATTCTTGATGTGATCGCGAACGTTGTTGAGTTTGACGACGCTGTTCAGTGCATCCAAGTACGTCTGAGCTTGAGTTGACGATCCCCAGTTGACATCTGCATCAGAGCGGCAGCGGGTATTCGTATGAACGTTGAGTAAGATCGAAAACAGAGTCGCTAGAACTGAAATCCGTGTGTGCAAAACTATCGCTAGTTTAAGCCTTCGTGTAAAAAAAAAAAAAAAACGCGTTCACATTTAAACATAAAAGTGTTTCTAGTCCTAACGTGTACACTTCAGCAAACTGTACTTAACAAAACGTGCAGTGCTCTAAAATCATATCACTGCCAGCACTGCAGACAATGTCAGACAACTGGCAAGTAGCCAGCTTTACATATTACTGCCGCTAGTCACACCATTAGTCCTGAGGAGGATGTTCACGGAATGGTCAGTGACGAATAGGAATGAAAATTTTGCATAATGATGATGAACTGGGTGTGCTGCTGTTATGGAAACGCAGCAAAAACAGAGCTGGTTCTTGTTATTGTTTACTTGACGATGCTTCTAAGGTTTCGAAATTTCACAGTTCAGAAGCTGATGTTTAAGGCTGCCTGCTGCACACCGCAGACACTGTGCATGGTTTACTGCGTTTGTATCCATGTCTCTCTGTGTTGCCTTACAACTTTGCTTTAGGTGCACTGTAGCCAAATAAAGCCACCTCAGGTTTACCTTGACTTTTTATGAGCTGAATCTTCCTTTCCCTATGTAACCAAGATTACACTGCGCGCTGCGGCAGTGTAATAAAATTGGTTGGTTAACAAATTTGTAGTTTCACGGAATTTATAACACCGAGCTATACAGCTTCAAAAATGAAATATCACAACAGTAGGGCTGATTAACCAAATTCATGCTCTGAAGGTCGACCAAGACAGCTTCATACTTTAAGACGTACCGGGCTTCCTGTTGTAAATGAATATGTAGAGTCCAAGGATGATGGCAAACGTTCCGAGTGCCGTAGGCCAGTTGGTGATGAACATGACACTCAAGCAAAGAATGGCACCCAGCAGGCTGACCCAAAGGTTGTAATAGCGGAACGCTGGCCGGAACCCTGCGTCACGGAAGGGAGAGAAAAGGATCACTTCAGCGTTAACATCTAGACTACATACAAAACTAGCAACAAAGTGTCAGCGAAGAACAAGACGTAGCGACATATTGGTACAGACGCATCACCACCGAGGTAAAGCTGGTAAAGCCTCACATGACAGGCTGGCTACCTGTCATGTGTGCATAAGTTTTGCAGTTTAAGGTTGTAAGTACGGAGAGTGTCTTGAAAGTATGTGCAGTGTTTGAAAAGGTAAACAGATGATGAAGGTTACTCATAATGAAATAATTGCCAGAGCAAATTAACGGGACACAAGAGAGGAGACAAACAAGCACAGAAGGGCTAGTTGGTATATGAATATGTACCAACTAGCCCGCCTATCAACCCTTCTACCATGAAGGTTACTCCAACCGTGGACTAAAGTTATGATGAATGCGGTATGCTCAAGTGTACTAACAGGTTGCAAGAAAAAAAAAAAACTGGAAGCTCTGCCTGGAATTAGACAGCTTACTTAGTGTGGTCACTCATCAGTGTCACTTTATTAATAGTAATAACTGCCTGATTTGTAATGTATAGGTACTTATAATAGGAAGTGTGTTATTAGGACAATGAAGCCTTCGATCATAAAAAAAAACAAACAAAAAACACGATTTATCACCCACACGCAACAGCTTTGCTCACAAACAGAACAAACGTATACTCGTGAAAACAACGAAGTGCTAAATAGAAACTGCAGGCAATAGAAAAAAAATCGGAAGAAGCGCCTCTTTCTGCCTGAAGTCGTTCACTGCACCGCGTGACATTGCTGAACTCTACAACTTGCCTAACACAGTGCCGTGGTAATATATGTACTCGTGAACAAAGATGTAGGAGCTTTAACGTTAAATTCCGAATTGGCTGTACAGTCAGAACAGCGTCTTCATTTTCTCATCATTACGCAATGTTTTATTTAGCAAATAGTACGCTGCGCGGGTATTCTGTTTATTGAATAAGAAATTTACACTTCAATAATTGCAAAAACCAAGCACTCTAGATTCGAGCCAACCCCTTAGCATATCTGTTAACTGTGTTAGGTGACTTAAGAAAACTGGTTAATCCCACTTCTTTGAGGAGCTTTGGTTAAGAAAAGCGAATAGTCGGTGTTGATTTTTTTTTTTCGGTGTTGTGTACTCACCCGGCATTCTAGTGAAGGAGGCGTGGAAGCACGAGAAGTTGATGAGGCAGTAGGCAGCAAGGAAGAAGTTTGAGATGATGGGTGCGATTGCGTTCAGCTCACCTACGAGAAAGAAAACTCGGGCTTCAATTTAACCGCGTCTATAAAGTAACACAGAGAAAGCATACCTTGCAGGGCGCTACTATCAGAATTTAATGAACAGCACAGTCCATTCGTTCCTCACCTTCACCCCTCTTTCATTTCGTACTTCTCCATTTCGCAGAGTAGCAAGCCGGAGACAAAGCTTGTCGGGCGGACCTCTCTACTTTTGCCGCATCGAAGTGTTTACGCTATCTCTCGCATTGCGCATCGGGTAACGCAATTGGGGGACACCATGAAAGAAGTAAAAAAAGCATTGAAAACGGCCACGAGCACGCTATCAACTATTTTATAGTTGTGCAATAGATCGCGCATTCACACAAAAATATATACTTGCAGGCACTTGCTAGCAGAGTGATCAACATCCCAGCTCTGTGTCCCCCCCCCCCCCCCTTCCTGCCTTGTTATCATCGGCGCCGCTTGAGCAGTAATGATCGGCTGCACTAGCACGCTTTCCTTCGCACGTTGAACCTATGTACTACAATGTGTGGGGCAATATTATCGAGTTTGAGCTTACACAAAACATCACAGGGGTGCGGAAACCGACGGCAAATACGCTCCAAGTGCGCCTTGTAAATGTTTTCGCATTAAAAAAATATAACGGCAAATACGTTACAGTTGAGCCCTGTGAATGCAATCGTAGTAAAAAATATAACTTGCCGATGGCACAGCAGGCAAGGGAGATGCCGAAAGCGAGCATATAACCACGCCTAGGTTCGTTGTTTCTGCCGAAGCCCTTGCCGAACCAGTGGATGTACGGGAAGAGCTTATCGTTGCACAGAGCCTGCGACCAAATACGAAGAGACGATCACAACATAAAACTCATATCGATAACTAACAAATGAGGTTCTGAGCACAGCAACGACGTTATAGTGGCTATGCCAGCCGTGATCATCATATAGAACGTAAAAGTAACCACTACATGAAAGAGCGTATGCCTGGACATGCTGGTAATTCATTCTAACTTTCTAGCGCACAAAGGTACATGAACTAAATGTAAAAAGCGAGGCAGCGTTGCGTCCGCGCCACTTTTCGCCCTTGTTTACTTGTGCCCTAAAAAAATTAAAAGTAATCTCTACATTAGCGAACAACAACTGATCACTCACCTGGAAGACCTTAGGAGCACTGACCAGACTGGCTAACGCAGAGGACAATGTGGCAGCGAAAACGCCGGCGATTACTAGGGGGCCGTACGCCGACACCATTTCCATGACCTGCGCATTGGAAATTTAAGTTCAGTGGCAAGAACAAAGTGGTAAGGAATCGAGTTTTGCAATGTAATTCAGTTGCGTTAGTTAGCAATAACACTTCGGGAGCCCTAATCTGCAGGTGTATTGTGATATTCTCCGTCATTCTTTTTGACCGTTCATACTTTTCATGAGGAAAGGTGCACCATGTTTATCCCTAGGATCTTAAACTCAGCGGAACAAAAAAAATGAAAATGTAGAAGAAAACACGCTGACACAAAATGCCATCACAAGCCATTAGCAATGCTGGAGTTGAAGGCGTCAAATACTTCTGATATGGTACTAATTAGTTTTAAAACTGCCACAAAACAGCCAGCCTGCAAGCATGAAGGTTCTGAAAGCCTTCGTGAAAACAGCAGCTTCATCAGTTTTTCGGTGAAGGGGGAATAAATTAGAAATGTGAGAGCACTGGGAATTGTCCTAACTACAGCAAGGGCGATACTGTATATGGTTCTTCGAGAAAGGCTTGAATGTGGTCCGTTTCGAAGCGCGTATTCGCACTAGCACGGGAGCGGCATAATCGTTAAACGGTGACACTATACCTGGAAGTAATTCATCAGTCCGTACTCGCACTTGTCGGCCTCGTGCATGGTGCAGTTGGCGATGTCGGCGAAGTTGACTCCGGCCTCGGTCAGGTTGAACGGGACTCCGTTGGCGTCACGCAAGACAGTGGTGCCGGCTATGACGGCGAATGCGATGTACGAGATGGTTGTGATAAAGATGGCCAGCAGGGTGCCCCGGGGGATCGCCTTTTGGGGATCCTGCAAGAGCGAAAACCACGAGAGTTGGGAGAAGTTTCGAAGGCCGGACTGAATCGTCAAGTTAATCGTAGTAAAGTTACATGGCTGTACAGCGTCAGCTAAATGCGTCTCACAATTGGTTTATCGACAGTTACGTTTTATAATGAGGAGCATATTTCAATGCAGTGGGTAAAAGGAGAATCACAATCAAAGTAAAATATTTCACCCAAAATGTATCATTAGATAGGGGGTTACATTTCAGTCATTAGGCTGGTACCGAGGGCCGTATAGTTAACGCACTCAACACAACCCAGAACACGCGTATTGCAAGAGCATTTGTCATCAGCAGCTCTTCTCTACAACCATACTCATTCAATACCGCGTTTTTCTTAAATAAAACGCGAATACAGTGCTTCCCTGAATAGATGGAAATATTGGTCGTATTGCGTATATTTATGCATTCGTTCTGCAAATTCTGTGTTATAGAGTCAATTGTAAAATATTAGAAAACAAATTGATAGTTTTCAATTTTGTACCTTCAAATCACCAGAGATGTTGGCACCGGCCAGAATACCCGTAGCCGCCGGGAAGAAAATAGAGAAGACGTCGAAGAAAGTTTCGCCATCTCTGAACCCCGGCTTTACGTTTTCCATGAAAAGAGTGCCTGTAGATAGAAAAAAAAAACAGTTGTGTTATTACAGGAAATTCACAGCTTTTGTAAAACCTAACACGGCCACTACACACACAAAAAAATATATTTAACAGCAGAGTTGTTTTAGTCGACGCCGTGTCGAGGTTTCCCCATCCGTTGTCGAAACGCTGGTCTCGAGCTCGTACAGTATATATTACGAGAGTGAAACTCGAAACGAAAGAAAGGGCTTCACGGCGCAAAGATAGGCGAGGCTCGGTGGTGGAAAGCCATGCTAGGAAAAAGAGCGAAAGAACCAGAACGCGAAGTGGCCAGAATGAGACGCTTTTAGCAAGTGAAGTTTCAATCAAAAGCATAGAACCAGCTTACAGACTGCTGCAAGGTAAGGACATCACTCCGCATACCATTACTTTGGTTTTCGGCGCACATGGGGTCAGGGGAGGGAGCCCCACGTAACCTCAACGAGGTGGCGCGGATTAGTGTGCCGTGCAATCCCCGAGGCGGCCGAATCTCCCGCTCCGGAGTTTAGCGACCAGCTGTTGACGTGCAACAGCATAACCAAGCATTATTACTTAGAGTGCAGGGAATTCCCTTCTGCCTGCGGACGTTACCCCAACCCGGTCGTCGTGAATAAAATTAACCCGGACTGTGGGGTTTCGATATATTGTAGTAAGTGTGGAGACTTGCTCAATTTCGAACACATGCTCTGGCGCTGCTCGGCAATGGCAGGTGCGGCTTCTCACTGTGAAAAGAGAGCTGCACAGTGACGCGCTGGTGGACACACTCAGGGCTGTCCACCATAGGGCCCGTGTGGCGGCAGAGGAGCTTAGCCTCTTTGTCCCGACGTGGGAGCAGCCAGCATGAGTCCTACACTGATCCTCAGGACTTCAATAAAGGAAGATGTAACGCACATTACTAAAAAAAAAAATAAGAGAAAAAAACAAGCAACTAGAGAATGAGTATGCATATAAATAAACAAAAACGACAGGCACGTTTTTTTCTATCAGATTATCTCGTTTATCTTGTTTTTTTTTTAATGTGCGAGCACGTCTTTTTACGTTTTTGATTAATAAAACGTCAGTCGCTATATAGCAACGCGTCGTCCTGTCTCCTTCGTATCTGTGTGCATTGTCGTTTTTTCACGCTGTTTCTAACCTGAGTTTTAAGGAACTTGCCCAACTGTCTCTGTTAACCCAATGGAAAGTATCAACCAATGGGAGAAGTATGTGAGAGATGAGGGTGAACCGGAGGAGGGGGGGGGGGGAGCATCAGCTTTGCTCTTTTGATAGTCGGCTTCGAAAGTATTCACGTATAGTGTAGCTGACCACACTTTTTTGTACATTTCACGGCCATGACCGCACAATAGGTTCGATTACAAAACAGCAGCGTTTAAATATTGCAGGCATTGATTGGACTTAACGTTCCTCATCTGTATATAACCATCAGTCTGCGGCTGCTGTTGCTGGAATAAAGTGCCGGCTGAACCGTGGTATTTGAATACATTGTTTTTCGGGGAGCGGAATGAGGCTAATCCTCTCTTTTTTCCGCCTCGTCCAAACGAAACTGCTGGACTTTTAAAAAAGTTTATCGATTCATTCATTCGAGGGGCACTTTCCGTAGAGGAACGACCTGCATGAAAAGCTGGTTCTTTAAGGAAATTTCTACTGCGAGATTAATCACCGTTGGCATTCTCGAGTCACGAAGAAAAATATTTCAGACATCTATGGCTTTTTTTTTCTACATCAGCTGACTCAATCTTAAAAATACAAGAACACAAAGCTCCTAGTTTCAATTGCAGGTGCGAACTTTATGGCCCCATATAGTGTTTTAACTCCACCACAGTCAGAATTTAATCACGCATTTTATTTCTCTACTGTTCCATACACATTTTTCCTTTCCTTTGCACCCTGTGTATAACTAATAGCTGAACGATTATCCCGCAAAAACAAAGAGCGCGAAAGTGGAAGAAGTCCAGCGGCGTAAACGGTAGTCGGTGTACCAGTAACCCACGTGACAGTAATTCCAAAACTATTTTTCCGTGCTTTCGTTTGGAAATACACAAATTAGATGCTACGCACTACTGCAGCAAACGTTGTTAGCGGAACGTAAGGGCAACCAAAGTTCTCCGTCATATTTTCTATAAAAGGCAAACTTTTCGGGTCGTTCGCAGCGTTACACGCATATGTACTGCGCACAGGCACGGCGGTAATGAGCCACATTTCGTGTCCTCTGCTTGGCAGGCTCACCGGAGTAGCCGACGAAGCCCCTGGCCATGAGGTCAGTGGTGGGCGTGAAGAAAGACCCGACGACGAAGTCAACCATGGCCGCCAAGAGGATCAGGAGAAGCACGATTTGCGCCTGGCAAAATAAATAATAATAATAATAATAATAATAATAATAATAATAATAATAATAATAATAATAATAATAATAATAATAATAATAATAATAATAATAATAATAATAATAATAACAATAACAACAATAATAACAACAATAACAATAACAATAACAATAATAATAACAATAATAATAATAATAATAATAATAATAATAATAATAATAATAATAATAATAATAATAATAATAATAATAATAATAATAACAATAATAATAATAATGCGTTCGAGTGCGCCCACCTTTGACTCCCACTCGGTGCCGATGAGCGCGATGCAGAGAAGCACGACCACCGTGGCGCAACTGATGATGCGGATGTCGTTCATGTCGCCATCCACGATGAGCTGGTCTTGCCTCTGCGAGTGGGACACGCGCCGCACCGATTGTGATGTCAAAATTTCGAACCCTTTCACAGTGACAGCTATCAAAACAATCGTAGCAAACGCATCGTCTTTCGAGACAAACTATACTGATCAAAAAGGGGAAAGTATGCCAATACTTGTACTTATTTTATGCCATTGTCGACAAAGCTTTAAGACAGCAAGATGCACGCGTCTCGGACTCAATGAGCGACATTTTACACACATTGTTAGCAAATGATTGGAGTGCAGCGTGAGGTCGAACGGCGGTTTATCGTGCGCGCTGTCCAACCCGTCAGACATCCGACCCATCGTTGAAGAGACGGAGGTTGATCAAAACACCTATTCGTCGTTACTCCAGCATTTCACGCTAGAGAGACGAGTATACCCTCCAGCACACCCAAAACTGACAAAAGAGGAAAGCGTAATACTGAGACGTCTGCAAAGCAGCACGTATACACGCATGAGGCCCTAATGCACCGTTTTGCTTCTTGCATGCCAGTGTATTGCCAGACGTAATCTGCAACAACACACGACTGATAACGAAGCAGGACGGACGAATGAAGACCTAACCGAAACCTGGAAGGCGAAGCTCGCCCTCGAGGACCTGGAAGACCAACAACAACTCGTCACCAGAGCTAAGAGGGCAGCAGAAGCCAGAGGGTTCCTGGACTAAGGAGCCCTCCCACCTCAGGGTGACACCGGGCATTGCTTGGAGCACTGTTTCGAAAATAAACGTTTACTTCTCTCTCTTCACAGTACTAAATCTGTACTGTGCTTAGAGTAATATACTGAGCGATCTAACGGAAACAAGTGTTCATAGCACAAACGTACGAAAGGAGTACTGCAACGATACGTAGCAAAATATTTGCCCACGTCAATAAGCAACTACACATCCCCTTTGCTCCAGTTTCACAAAAAAAAAAGCTTTAATGAATAAACACAGAAATGCTAGCAAAGTCTGCCTCTAAAGTCCTCACCTTCATCACGGCTTGCACGGTTTCTGCGAAACCCACGACGTACATGGCAACTGCCACTGCGTTTGCTAAGGAGAAAATCAACCCAATGGCACCGCCGAACTCTGGCCCAAGACTCCGCGATATCATGTAGTACGTCCCGCCTGCGATAAGCAGTTGAAAAAAAATGTAGTAGACAATACCTTAAACTGCAAACTAACAAACAACCAAATAAACAAGAAAGCACGGTGCATTTGAGAGAAGGGTATACAAATGGCATATATCTTTCATCCGGAAATAGTGGTGACATAACCGTTGTTTTTTGTCACGACTGCGTGTTCCTATGTAATTATACAGCTACAACATCAAGCAATACCATTCTTGCAGTATTCTGTGCATGAGCACAGTTCAAGTGGTATAATTTGAGCATGCATGAAAGTTTCGCATATGAAAGTGTATCGGCAATAAAACGCCAACCACTACACCCACACACTTCCCTGCTTATGAAAAAATAATTTCAGACTCATTAAACTGAATGATTCCAATGTGAAAATAGGCAAATATGCAAAATATGCAAATATGCACACTTCAGGTGATATTGAAGCAAACTGGGGATGCCTCCAAGATAACACCATATTACTTGCGGCGTTCAATTTCTAAATGTGTGCACTGTTCCACTTGAGTTTGTAAAAAAGCGTCGTTTGAAACTGAAGTAGAAATGTCATTACTTGCGAAATCATAAATTAGTTGTACGCATTTCATGAAATTGTTAATTATACTATGGGCTTCCATTTTTTCGCTATAGTTTAAAATCGCATGTCATCGTGTAGTTAAGGTCGAAGAGTGGAATCGCTCTATCTGCGGCCTGCAGGGGACTTAACGTTTCTGTATTTTCTATAGAAAAAATACTTTTTCACACATAAAATGTCGCGTTCGATCTACGTACCTCCTCTGACTTCTCCATTTGTACAAATTGCTGACATCGAAAGCGTTGTCAGCATGGTGACCGCAGATGCCAGCAGGATGATAGCAATGGCAAGACCTGAAATTTATTGCACAGTAAAACCATAAGCTCTGGGAACTGTTGTTTTAATTAAACAAAAATGCAATTTTACCATTAAAGTATTTTATACGGAGACCGACAAACCTCAGTGACGTATTTCCGTCACGGAAATGACGTCTAAATAGAGACCCCAATCAGATGGCAAAAAACATAAAAAGACATGGTTGATCCCTCCTTTTAGGAATTGCTATAACACGAAAGTGAAACGTGTCTTCAAAGATGTATTTGACCATCGATTGTGCACTGTTTCGCCCCGAGAATGAAGAAATGAATGCTGCAGTAACAAAGTGCAATGTCACGCGAAGAACGACAAGCAGTTCGAAACTTTCAGCGCACATTTCATGCAGAAATCACGCACGAAACGCGCCCAGACAGGACGAGCGCGGACAACGTTCGCAATTCTTACTACATGTGTGAGCAACACGCCCTTTCGTAACGCGGCCGCGGCAGTGAGCGAAGTGACGTTCATGCTCTATTTAACTGCTGGAACTTCAAAGCAAACTTGCGGTGGAACCACAAGAGGTACAAAGCGCCCGAATTCCGAGAAAATCCAGTGAACCAACACGCCAGTGAACCACCACGCTTGAGAACCACTACGCCATGTGGAGGCGTGCACGCACAGTGACGCACGGAATGGCGAGGCACGACGACCTTTAGAGTTTACCACCGAGCGTCAACATGAATGCATTGACACAAAGAGGGCAAATACAATCATTCAGAGAGACAAGAAACTATTGTTATTCGCTAGAAGGTTTCTGAGAAAGTGGGTGGGATCCTCAGCTCAGGGCTCCACTAGCATTTGCGGCTATCTTCATTTGAAAGGTTCGGCTGCTATGCTCTTCGGTGTCACCATAACACGATAAGATTATTTCGCACCATTCTCATTTTCGCAAATGCAGCAATACCACGTTTTTAAGGAGATTCACTTTACCCGATTACATATCGCTTGATTTGCTACCTTTATGCTTGTAATCTCAAGTTATCTTTTTAATTCAAATCGAAAACTTCTGACATGAGGCCGGAACGAAACACTCAATATCCAGATTCAATCTCGCAGAGTACGTTTATGACCGATCAGGTCCGGCATTATGGCGAGCAAACAAGAAACGTCCCGAATGCTTCCTTTTCTCAAACAGTTGGGAATGAGTAATAAAGTATTCTTGCCACAATTTCCTCAGTTGTCCTTGTACTGCCTTCACGACAAAGTACAAGGCCATAAAAGTGAATGCTTTTCAATACACTAAATGCTGTTATCTATGAAGAAATTTTTGAAGCTGTATCCTCGAAACGAAGATGTCTGTGCTTCCTCTGCATGAATAATAAAAAAAAATGGACGACTGAGTGCTCCTTTTCCGATGCAGGCGCATATTTCAGAATTTTTTTATTCCTGTACTGTCGGTCGTCACAGGCGCGTGACATGCGGTGAAACTGTAAGCTTCGAATTAAATTGTAACTTCAACTAAACAAAGAAAAAGCCGCTAGCCAACAAAAGCAGCGCTCATTTTTCTAAGTTTTTATTGAAATGAATCGCCGAGAACTATGACGTCGCAACCACGAGGAGACATGATCGAACTGCACTTAAAAATTTATGGGATTTTCGCAGTTATAACGTACGATAATGTGACACACGGCCACGGCAGATCCGAATTGCACAATTTATGATCCGATGGGGCTGTTTTCGTTCCAAGTTCGGGTCTTTAGTGCACATTTGAAAGACAACATGTATTAATTCTGAATTTAAAGAACTTTGTTGTTAAGACGCCGGATACTGCATTGCTGCCTGAGACTTCTCACCAATCTGCGTTCATCAACGTCCTATTCCTTTCGCTATGTTCGAAAGAATCAGCCTATAGACTCGAACGCACTAACTCATTTGAATACACAGTGCTCGTTTCGCACATGAATATTATTCAAGAGGAAACAGCGACGCAATGAAACTTTCGCGTTTCTGCAAGTTAAAAAAATCGTAAGAACTCACCAATCCCGGCTTGTCCCACGACCCAGGACAACCGAAGAAAAAGCATGACACCCCATATGTTGAGAAGACATCGTACCTGATCAAGGGTTGAACGAAAGAAGACAACTGGTTAAAGGGTCCCAGTTATTTTCTCAACTCAACGTACTGAGGCCAACATACAATGAAGCTAGTGAAGTTCAGCGCAACGACTATCGCATGACACAAAAGTTAAAATAAAAATTTAAATAACGCTGCATGAGTTTTTCTTGTTATTTGTTGGCTTCATGTACTTCTGGCCACGTACCGACGAATTGAAATGCGGCACCATTTAGTTGTTTAACATAACTGCGACAAGTAATTGGCCCCGTCAACCACGTCACATTTCTGCATATCTGGTCTCGAGAGATAACGTTGGCGCTGGAGGAAGTTTTCGAGTCATAATTACGCCTGTATGACACAAACTGGAGACGCTGCAAACCAAATTTAAAGCCCTGTACCACTGTGTAAAAGCATTACTTAGCGCTGAATTAGTGTTTCAATGAGTTAGTAGTATACACTTAGTACACAAAGATATCATTAATGAAGAGAAATTACGACACGAGTTGCCCTTAAGAGGTCACTGTACTTGGTTACTACAGAACAAGACCGAGCTGAACTCACCAGTACTCCTTGTATCCATCCAAATTTGACAGCATTTGTAGTACCGACATCGACACTTTGAACTTTCTCGCTGAAGGACTTGGACTGCACAAAAAAAGGAAGAAGATAATTATAAGCAACTATATATACGCATCCGCACATGTCCCACATACAGATGTATACAGCCTTATCACTCAAATCAGTTAGGTTTGCGCGGATTGGTGGATCGGTGCTCGGCTGCTGACCCGAAGGACGCGGGGTACGATCCCGGCTGAGGGGGCGGTCGCTTGTCAGTGCAGGCGAAGTGGTATACAGAGGTCCGTGTACTGAGCGACTTCAGTGCACATTAAGAAACACCAGATGCCCGATATTTCCGGAGCCCTTTATTACTGCCTCCCTCATAATCACATGGTCGTTTTGGGACGCAAGACTTCACACAATTAATTGAGTGATATGTGGAGTTTAACGTCCCAAAACCACCATATGATTACGAGAGATGCCGTAGTGAAAGGCTCCAGAAATTTTGACCAACTGGGGTTCTTTAACGTGCACCCAAATCTGAGCACACGGGCATACAGCATTTCCGCCTCCATCGGAAATGCAGCCGCCGCAGCCAGAATACGATCCCGCGACCTGTGGGTCAGCAGCCGAGTACCATAGCAACTTGACCACCATGACGGGGCCCCAAAAACTTCACATATTAATAAACAATTAGGTTTACGCCAACCACTGACAACAGCAAGTACATGTCACCGTTTGAAGACTATGGTTTTGTCGCTGATTATACATGTAACACCTATTATTCATCACCGTGTATTGAACAGTCGCACGACTCCACCTGGCGTAATATGTGCTCACACTACGAATTATACTTCTATAGGCAACACACTTAATCTTGATCTTTGTACGTAGCATAAAAACTCAATGTCCATCGCCTAACTCCCCTCGGAGGCGAAATCCACGTTCTTCTTTACAGTCGACGTATTGAACATCGCCCGCTCCCCTCTTTAAGCTTGCTGCACCTAACATGTTCTCGCGCTGCCTCCAGAGTTGGAGGCATTGAAAGCTTCCTGCGCGTCACGTGGTTTTTACACTGGCTCCGTTATCGGTCCACGTTCGACCAAGCGGCGATGTCACGTGATGACGTCACGAATCGCGGCGACCTGCGACATCATCACGTCACAATTTTTGTAATCACTCGTGTTGATGCCAGTAGTCTATTTTCGTGTCTGATGAGGCATCGAAAGCGTTGTACTTTAATAATTATAATAATAAACTGCCTCCGAAACTTACACACTAAGCACGTAACAAGCACAGTGACTTATCGCTTCGAGTGATAAGTTTGTAATCGAAGTTCATGTGCATTTCTTGTTCAAAGGGGGAGATAACTTGAAGCCTGTTGATTTTAAGCTTGCCGCTTTAATGCCCGTTGCTTGACCGCATGCCGCTTGATTGGGGCCGATTGATTGAACCACTAAGCATAAGTCGACCCAAATTGACACGCTTTCGACAATTTGTCACTGCCATGATAACATAGCTACGGTGTTTGTACAGGTCGATCGGCGACCCAGGAACGTTAGAGAGTGCGTCCCTGCATTAAATGTTTGTAAGCATTCCAACTACGCTGTCGAGAAGTGGTCTCCCTGAACTATCTCTACGAGAAGACGAAATGTCCTAAGGCACGTTGCGGGGCTAGTTGGTTGGTTTTCAATAATTATATGTGTATACCACATGCGTGTTTGTGTGTGTCTCTCTTATGTCCTTGTCGTGGTGCGCTATACCCATATGAATGATGAGAATACGAAATGCATCGCATGTCACCAAAAGATGTTTGTATACGAACGCCATGTATACCTGTATATGAAGTTACAAGAAATACTCTCCAGCGAAAGCTAGTTAGTTTTCGAGTCATAAATACGCCTGTATGACAGAAACTGGACACGTTGCAAAACAAATTTGAAGCCCTGTACCACTGTGTAAAAGGATTACTTAGCCCTCAATTATAGTGTTTCCATGCGTGAATAGTACACTTAGTACACAAAGACATCATTAATGAAGAGAAATTACGACACTAGTTGCCCTTGGGAGGTCACTGTACTTTGTTGCTATACAGAATCAGATCGAGATGAACAATGTCAGCGGTATCTGACGAAAAATGTGGGCCTACCTCAAAGTCAGACAAGTCTTCAAACACTATCAATTGTAAATTGACACTGTCACGTATCCTACGTTGAGTGAGACAAAAATGATCATAGCATGGAAACTTCACACAAGTATACTGTATCTTGGTGTACCTTGACAAAGGTAAAAAAAAGGGGGAATCAGCACTAAACAACAACAGTATCATCCCAAACACTGAATGAAAATGCCACGAAACACAAAAGACGCCGTAGCATTGTGAGCATTTTTTTTCCCGATACGACAAGTGCTAAGCTGGCCGTTCTCCTATCCTGAGCTCCGACAACGACCGACCATCTAAAAGATTGAGGGCACGCACTGTTACAGGTCGAGGGTACAGAACAGGACAGATCATTTTCACGTGACCCAAATCCCTATTGGCACGATCACATGCCTTCTGAAGTATCTTCGCCCCACGAACTCGTGTACCAAGCGGAATGTCAGCTTTTGTACAGAGGGACACAATGGTCAGGCCTTCATGGCGTGTGCCACTCTTAAGAGGTAACCATCAGAGGAGACTTGCAAACGGTGCGCCGATAGGAAAGTGCAAGTACTGGGCGCAGCCAAGCCGGCTCTCATGCTCGCAGTATAGGTGCATTGTCACTTTTTTTTTTGTCGCAGCCGATTATCAGCATTCACCACAACGAGGTTTGCGGCTAAAGTACATAAATCCCACTCAACCAGGCGGCCGTCGAGTAAAGTGGGTTTTCCTTCTGCGTATCCATTATGGCGTCTGTCTGAGCAGTACAGAGGCACATTTTGCTCCCGGCACGCTGTGAAATGTTGAGCTTGAAGAAGATAAGCCTCGTTCGCTTTCCCTTTCTTTTGTCTTGCCGCTTATCAGAACAAACGATTGAAAAAAAAAGAAAGAAAGATGGCCAGAATGTTAAGCCTGCGGGTGCAAACAGACCATTGTGTGACTTCTGCAATTTTTTTTTTTTTCACTTCAGTGCACAAAGCCCTACGGACAACGACTGAAAAGAACAATTTCCTCACGTAGACCGAGATATCAGTGCGTTTGCCTCAGGTGTCAAAACGAAATGCTCTGAATTCGATGGTGTTGCTTTTACTGAAGCGAAAGCCGCATGTGTCCAATCAAACGGCAAACGTGACCATCGACGTAGTCGTCGCCGTCAACACGAGGGGCTTCAAACATTGCTACCATCAGCTGTCAAAATAGCGAAGTGATTATGGTGCGTGATTGCTGACCTGAAGAAAGCGGTATCTAATTTCTACCCCAACGACCGCATTTCGTTAGAGACGAATGGTTAAGCACCCTAGTGCCTGTATTTTAGGCGCACGTTAAGAAACACCTGGTGGTAAAAATCTCCAGAGCCCTCCTCCTCTACAGCGTCCCTCAAAATCATATCATGGTTCTGAGACAAGAAACCACAACACAATTATGGTCATCTCCCCTAAAAAAGAATCAGCAATCAAGATGATTCAATGAAGAAGACGATCAGATAGCCACACCTGGTCGCTTTCGCCATGGAGTAGTCTAAAGCGCATGCACATATAAGAGACGCTGAGATTTCTTAATTATAATTCACTGGCAGCGGAGGGAAAGTCTATAGCGTATATTGTTCGTTGTGTTTTTGAGTCCTCATCTTCTGTGCCAGTACACCACCACCAAGTGCCAAGACACCATTCGGGCAATTAAGCTTGTTTACCTCTCTGCCCTTCGTATGTTACGTTCTATCTTTTGACAGAAAAGTTAGACGTTTATCAGGATGAGCGAAACAAAGACATCAATGACCATGTTAGGATTGCGGTTGGCGTGCCACTGCCGGTGGCCTGCCTTTGACTCTCAGTTTTGTGTGAAAGTGGGAAGTAGACCATTTTTGAAGTGAAACATCGGCAGTGCTTGTCAGGCAATATCATCAAAAACCTGCATGGTCACAGACCTGAACATTAAATAATGAGATGAAATCTCCGATTGAGTAAAGTATAGAATTGGCTTTGGACCCCTTAGACCATTATTCTGGAGGGGGGGGGGGGGTAATGCCACGTAGACCAAGTGGCGAGTAATGAGATTCATCCAATTTTTGTGGCCCATAATCGTTTATGACGCCCACAAGTATCACAACGGGTACCGGACCTGAATGTGCTACCAAGAACAGATTCAGTGTTTAAAAAAGAAAGGCCAGGCCTCCGGGGTATACGCGCAGCACAGTCACAGCGAAAGGTAAAAGAGCGGCCTTTCAGAGCCTTTTCAAAACACGCATTGGGTAACCACTGCAAGCACACTTGCTTGGTACCCACTAGGCCATTATTATTAAACTTTTAGCTAGTAGGCCGGCATTTGCTATGCTATTTACGTCATTCCTCTGGAAAGCGTGGTATCCGCTAAACACTTCCAAGGAAGTTTGTGCCAATTGTCCATACAGGGGCTGACGACAATGAGGAATTGTGGCTGAAGTGGGTATGCGCCACAGTTAATAGGGGAACAAGGACAAGCTTTTGGGATGGTTTGGAGAATTGGACGGCCCACTCGTTACGCTATTCGCATTGCGCGATGACTGGTTTTTTCGCTGTTGTAAAACGCTTTATAATTCGTATTAATACGATTGCATTACCGACATCCAGCCTGCTTAAGGTAAGTTTGACCGCAAGTCACAAGCTTCGGTGTAGCTCAGCGGTAGAATACTGGGCTGGCACCCAGAGGACCCGGGTTCGAGCCCCACTGTGCCATTGGGGCTAGGTCATGCCTGCCTAAGGCAAGTTTGACAACAAGTTACGAGCACCGGCGTAACTCAATAGTAAAATATTGGGCTGGCACCCAGTGAACCCGGTTTCAAGCACCACTGTGTCATTGGTGCAAGGTTTTTTTTTTCTATTTTCACGAAATGGTTGCGGACACCGGCGGCGGACAACGACTGCGCGTGACCTGTAAAGTGATCTCATAACAGCTTTCACTGTAAAAAAAA